GTATTTTCATTTGTTAACTTCCTAGTAGATTGTGGGAATGCTGAAGATATCAACTATCTTGATTCCAAAGAGAAGAGGCCGGCTTTCTTTCTGGCAGATTCTTGCACCGGTTATGGATCGGACTCCACAGCCTCAAATCAAGCAACCTGATTTTAAATCTAGAGGCATTTCTCTCATTTTCAGAGAGCTTTGTGGATCGATTCTTCATCACCACTAAGTGATTCCCAGCTGGATGGGATCCCTGTGTGATTGAGCAAAGAAGGAAAGGATGCAGGAATCCATAGAGCGGTGGCAACCAAGCTGAAGGAACCTCCGTCCTGCCTTTGGCGGTTGGGCACAAGGAAATGCCACCTCTCTGCCTTCGGGGACAGGTGAGGAGGGAGGGAGGGAGGCTCAATGCTTTGGGCCAATCGCCTCAAGAGCTCAGCATCTCAGAGTCAGCTTGTTTGGGAGATGGGCAGCATTGAAACAATGAATGAATGAATGAATGAATGAAGTGAGTGAATGAGTGAGTGAGTGAATGAATGAATGAATGAATGAATGAACCAACCAATCTATGTGCATGAGCCAGACAGCTGTGCTGGTGAAGGTGTGTGTGTGTGTGTGTGTGTGTGTGTGTGTGTGTGTGTAGAGAGGGGTAGAGTTGAGCCCTTGACTGCAATGCAAAGCCTTGCCATCCACTGACCTGTAACTGCTACAAAGGCAAGGATGCCCAACCATCTTTGGCTCAAAGGTTAAGGAGTGGTGAAGTTCGCTTTTGAAAAGAAAGGAATGAAGGACAAAGCGAAGGGAAGAAGAGAAGGCCGGGAGGGAGGGAGGGAGGGAGGGGGAGCTGAGGTCTCCCTCCCCTTCACACGACAGCCTCTTGCTCGCTCCATGCCAGCCAGAAGCGAAGCCTTGGAAGGAAGCTGCCATCCTTGCCATCTGCCAAGCCCGGAGTCCCAGAGCCAAGGGGGAGCTTGGGAGAAGCCAACGTCTTTGGGCCTCCCGGAGACCGGAGGAGCCGCCTGACTCCCGCCAAAGCCAGCGAGGAGGGTCGATAGCCAGCAAGGGGGTGTGTGTCTCATCGATCCCCATCCGCCCGCGGCCACTGAATCAATGTCCTGACGCACAAAGGCTGCTCCCTCCGAGGCAGGGAGAGCGGGCAAAGCATGTCTGGACTGCAGAAGTCCGTCTCTTCACCTGACGCTCATCACACTGGGGGCCTTGCTGGCTGGGAAGCAGGGGCACTCTAGTCCTACCCATTTCCAGGGGCCCATTTCTGCCAAATGCCGTTGGAGAGAAGGGTGGGTTACGCATCCTGCAACAAACCGACAGACTGAACCCGCGAGAAGCAATTTTCTCTCGCGTCCAAACGAGTCAAGCCCACTCTGGTGCAACATTCACACCTTTCGCCAAGATGGGCTCTGGGTTCCCACCAAAAGGCTGAGAGGCCCAATCTCACGTGAGCAAACTGCTAACGAACAACAATTATAGGGAGTCCTCATTCAGTGACTGCCTCGTTTAGTGACCGTTCACCGTTAGTGCAATGATGAAACAGTAACTCTGCGACCAATCTTCGCATTTACGACCTTTGCAGGTCTGCAAAGCAAAGGAAAACTGAAGGAAGACCGCAAGCTGTGGTCGCTAAATAAGGACAACCCATAATACAGATTGCAATGTGCAGCCCTCCCTCCCAGGTGGGGCTGTGGCTCCTGGATCCCTAGCCCAGCATGGAGATGGTAGCCCATATCCCTAATTTGGGGAGCGGTATCCCTATGGCGAGAGGCGGTCTTGTGTCAGGAGGCGAAGGCAGCAGGCTAGAAATGAGGACAATTCACTCGAAACGTGAGTTTTAAGTCTGCCTTGCTGGCTGACCGTGGGCCGGCCCTTCTCTCTCGGCCCTAGGAAGAAGGCAATGGCAACCCACTTCTGGTATAATAGGGCCAAAAAAGCTGCAGGGACTCATCCAGACGGTCCCTGGGACTCAAGAATGCTTTGAAGGCATCTGGATGTGCACCCACCCAGCCAGCCCCCTTTAGAGCAGGAGGAGGAGTTGGGAAGTGCATTTAGGATTGCTTGATGAGGTGAGCAGAATCACAGGATGGCCCTCAGGCTCCCCTCCCCCTCCCCGATGAGCACAGAGCCTCCCCCCCCCCATGCTCCTTTCCAGGGCTGAGCAGAAACGGCCGGAGGGCCTGTCCAGCAGCCACTCAGCCCCCCAAGCCCTGCCCCTCTCTTGCAGCAGCTGGGACCGCTCAGACCTGGATGGGCTCTCCTTGGTCCGGTGAATTCTGCACGGCAGAGCCCAGCTCGGCTCGGTCCAACCAGCCAGAGGACAAGGTGGGCTGAGCAGAGTGCAGCCCTAGCTTCCCTCCACCCCCCAAAAGTAGGAGTGGGGAGGGAGCAGGGTCAAGATGGGGGCCCCTGGGGGGAGAGGGGGGTACCTTGCTTTTGGTGCCAGACCACCCACTCCTCCGTCTGTGCTGCTTCCTTCCCAGATGGGCCCCCATCTTCCCGTCCTTCCTCTTCTCTCTCCCGCCAACTCTCTCTCCACCCAGGCTTCGGAAAGGGCGTACAACTCACAACTCGGACAGACGCACACGCGTGATGTCACACACACTGACACATTCCATGGCTCGATCCTGTCCAAGCAAAACAGCAGCCCGGGGGACAAATCCCACCAGAGCCAACGTGGCCAGCAAGCCTCCCCCTCCCGTTCTCCCGCCCCCCCTCCACCCCCCCCTTTCCGTCTGGGGCTTCCCCCTCTGCAGCATCCCTGGGTTTGTGGCTCCCTGGCCCCTCCCACTCCCTGGGGATGATTTTGGGGGGGGGACCCGTGTCAGCAGGATCAGTGGGGGGGGGGTGGTCAACCATAGCGTCCTGCCCTCCTGGCTGCAATCAATCAGAATAGAGCTGGAAGGGACCTCGGGGGTCTTCTAGTCCAGCCCCCTGCCCAAGCAGGAGACCCTCTCCCATTTCAGACAAATGGCTGTCCAGACTCTTCTTACAAACCTCCAGGGATGAAAGACCCACAACTTCTGTTCCACTGGTTGATTGTCCTCACTGCCAGGAAGTTTCTCCTTCGTTCCAGGTTGCTTCTCTCCTTGGTTACTTTCCATCCATTGTTGTTTCTTCTCCTGCCTTCAGGTTGACCTCCCTCTTCTTTGGGGCAGCCCCTCAAATACTGGGAAGCTGCTATCATGCCCCCCCCTTGTTGTTCTTTTCTCTAGACTAGCCAAACCCAAATCCTGCAGCCCTTCTTCCGGGGTTTTAGCCTCCAGGCCTTCAAGCGTCTTGGATGCTCTTCTCTGCAAAGGCTTCCTGGGCTGCAAAGGCCACAGAGGGAGGGTGCCTGGCCTGCTTTTGCTCCTGCTGCCCCACGCAGGGCCCCAGAGAAGCCAGCAGCACGATGGTCTGCTCATGTACACAAAGCAAGAGCCCAGATTATTCTTTGATGGCCTGGTTTTCTCTTATTTCCCACTTTCAGCAGGAATCCAGGCTACCACACCTCACCCCTTCCCCAAGAGCCCCAGGCGAGGGAGGGCTTGGCAACGGGTGCAAGTCCACTCAGGGCAAGATCAAGACTCAAAAGAGGGGCTCCCCTGTCAAGTGCTCTGGACCCCCCAGGCCTAATGGAGGCACCCCATTTCTATCTGATTTGTCTTATAGCCACATCACAAAATAAAGGTAGAATTCAACCTTTCATTCCAGAATAAAATAAGTAAAGTCCTGTCAGAGACAGAAATTCACTGGGTGGATCAACCTGAGTTTAGCCCACAAATATTTCTGTACCTAAAAACCCAAAATGCAACCAGACTGAAAAAAACATGCTTGTGATAATTACACACACACACACACCTGGTGAACATCCTTGTGGAAAGCCAACCGATTCAAAATCGATACGAAAGTCTCTTTAATAAGCTCCTTTAATAAAAGGAGTTTAATCAGCTCTCCAAGACCATCCTAGTTAGCATATCTGGACGGACGATATTGCAAAACCTGCCTTGCGTGACTGCTAATTGTGGCCTCTTGGGACGTGTTTGGGAGCCGGGTTTTTCCCTGGTAATTTCTGCAATTTTAACCCAGTGCAAAAGTATCGTCTCCATGGAACGGAGCCCAGGCCGTGTGAGCAAACTGGGATAAATAAGGCTCCTCGGCTACACTGGGCACACTCAAGGACAGGGCCCAGGAAAAGGGTCCCCGGAGAGTCTCAATCATCCAGGCCATGCTTGCCCCAAAGGCGCTTTCGCCAAAAGACAACCGGACTGTCTGATTTTCCTTCCAGACGCTTCGCTTCTCACCCATAAAGCCGCCTTTGGTTCTGAAGTCGGAGCTGAAGAAGCTTCTTGGACGAGAAGCGAAACGTCTTAAAAGAAAAACCAGAAACTCCAGGTACCTTTGGGGGTCCTGAGAAGCTTTAAGCCCCCTGCCTTCACTAAGGACCCCCAGAAACAGTGTCCTTCTCAGAGCCCCGTCCCTTGCAGCTGTGGGGGTTATGCAGCTCCAGAATCTGGGCTCACAGAAGTGAGAAGCGAGGGAGCCCAAGGATCCTGCTGGCCAATTTCTGTCTCCAGTTGGCTGAGCGTTCCCACTTCAAGTCCCTGGGTGGTCCAAATACCTGCTTGGCCGAGGGGAGCTGGACCCTTGTCAGGGGTTGCCTCCTGAAGGAAGGGAAATGGAAAGACGGGGGGCCTGTCCATGTTTCTCTGCAGACAGATGGCCACCATTGCCAGGGGCTGAGTCAGCAAGACCGTCCCTGCTCGTTTTTGTTACTGGTGCCACCCTCGGGGGCAAATGGAAAGAAAAGCCTGACCTGCTGGGTGGCATCGGCCTCAGGAGGTGTGGCCCACCTGGGTCCTCCAAGAGGGTGGGGGGCATTTGCCCAGCTCAGCCCAACCTACCATCCTCCCGGCCCCGGCCAGTGGGGTGAAGCTCAAGGCTTGCAGCCACTTCTGGAGTCTGAGCTGCGAAATGCAGTTGGAAGACCCCCTGCCCCCCCCCCCAAGGCGATGGCTTACCTTCGTGTGCAGCTTGGCGAACTGCTTGTCATCCAACAGGGGCTGGGAATAGACGCGCCTCTTGTATCGGAACTGGATGGGAAGCAAAGGGAGGAAGAAGCATCAGCTGCCAGCCTGGGCATCGGTCAAATCTTCATCGAATGGGCCCCGTGTCTCCGGCGGAGCCCTCCGGCCCCAAGGCTGCCCACCCAGGGAGAGTCGGAGCTGGGCTCTTTCACCATACGGGGCCCTCTGCTCTTCTGGAGCCTCCAGGGATTTGGGCCGCTGGTCAATGGAAAGTCTGCGGACCCGCTGATTCAACCAATCACACCGTCCCAGCCGGCTGCAGACGTGGCCTGCAGCTCTCCACCCCACTGCTGGCTCCCCACGAATGTCCCTTTCTCAAGGCTATGGGAAGGTCAGGTCAAGGTCAACACGGGTGAGCCAACAAGGGCGGCAGCTGGTGAAACACAGCTAACCAACAGGGCCGTTTTTAAGGACACAGGGCTCCAGGCTGTGGTCCCCCTTTGGCCAGGGTGGGCAACTAAGGACCCTTTAAGACTGTGGACTTCAACTCCCAGAATCCCTGAGCCAGAATTTCTCATGCCTCAGCCAGTCTGTCTGTCTGTCCCTCTCTATATCCGTCCATCCATCCATCCATCCATCCATCCATCCATCCATCTTTCATCCTTCTCTCTATTCTATGTTATGCTATGCTATCCTACCCTATCATCATCATCATCATCATCATCATCATCATCATCATCATCATCTCTTTCTCATTCTCTCTCCCTTCCTCCCTCTGTCTCTTCCAGAATTGTGCGACTACAAGATAGGTAGAATATAATTTTCATAAATCAATAGAATAAATCTATCAACTTTATCTACCTACCTATCATCCATCATCCATATTCTCTTTCTCTCTTTCTCTCCCTCCCCCCCTCCCTCTCTCTCTGATCTGCTCATCCATGGAAGCAACAATTAACAGCCGAGGAGACTTTGCAACCGGGGAGTTGGGGTGGGGGTGGGGGCATCTTGGACCCTGATACACTTTCTTGCATTACTGACTCTTCTGTCTGGACCCCAGCCTGGCTCTCCTCTATTCACCTATTGGGCACTTCTGTTAGACTCTACAGCTTAGTTTGGAAACTACTATTAAAGTGACATAATATTTGTCCTATTTTAAGATGTGCACCTCACAGGATAAAAATCTGGGCGGAGGACAATTTGTAAATGAGAGAAATAAAGCAAAATAAACAAAGATACTGTAGGTATGTTGGGGGAAAGCTTTTGGGAGACACATATGTTCATATCTTGATCTTGGCACATGGAGCCACTCCCTGCCTCTCTGGGGTGTCCTTGCAAGCCCGCATAAGGTAATTTGCAGAATTTACTTCCAGCAGCCCCTCACGGTCCTTGGCAACAAGAGTTGTGATTGTGCAACTCACCACACAGCTCCAAGGGGCAGCCCTGCTGGTGCTCAGTGCAAATTCTGTTTTGCAGAGGGGCGTTTAGCAGTTGCTTAAAGCCCGCAGGAGAATTAACCGGAGGCCCTCTGAGGCCCCACAGCATCTGGGGTGTGTGTGTGTGTCAATTGGTGGAGATCCATTTAGAGCCCACCCCTCCCAAACAAGGGATCGGGAACAAGACCCTCTGCCAGGAGATCTGCCCTGCCTGGACAGGTGACCAGTTTCTTTCCCTGTGACAGAATCCTGGCTCCCCTGGGCAGCCCACCTCAAGCTCCGGCTGAAGGCAGCACCACCGGACCTCGGCTTGACTCAGGGGAGGCTGTGTGGGGTGCACAGGTGCAGGGCTCGGCCCTCCCGGCCCCCAGCCTGGGATTCCTGCAGGGTCTCTGACACCTGAGCTGTCTGTGCGGATGGGCTGGTGGGGGCTGTGAGCACTACAGAATCCTCCAGAGATGAACCCTCTCGGCCCCAGGATGGCCCCAACTTTAAAGGGGAATATTTATTTTATTTTATTTTTTTTATTTTATTTCAAATTTATATACCGCACCTTCTCCCAAGGGACTCAGGGCGGTGTACAGCCAGATAAAAACATACAATACAAACATTAAGAACAATTAAAAATATATATATTAATTTGGCCCCAGTTTATAGCTTGGGGTTGAAATGGGGGGGGGGTCTTTGGTGCTCCCTGAGCTTGGTGCTTTTCTTGTGTTACCCATCTAGGAGATCACTAGCACGGAGGATCCTTCCTCGTTTGGTAATGAAATGTTTACAAGAACAATCAAGCTCAGAGAGCACCAAGGATCCCATAGTTTCCTCTTCCTCCTTCTCCTCTGCACATCCCACTTCCTTCTAGCCCTGATGATGTTACCTAGCTAGGTCATGAAATGTCTGCATGAAAAGAACCAAGTTCAGAGAGCACCAAGACCCCTGCAGTCCTCCTCCTCCTCCTCCTTAACCTCCTCCTCCTTCTCCTCCTCCTCCCTTTCTAGCCCTGATGATGGTACCTAGCTTGGGTCCTGAAACATCTGCAAGAAGCCCACCAAGCTCAGAGAGGACCAAGGACCCCACAACCCCATCTCTGCTTTCAGGACCCCTGACCTTGCACTGCCAGTTCCCTGGGCTTTGAGCTGAGGGGGGGTGTCTCTCCTCCAGTCTCCCAGCAATGCATCACCCAGAGCACCTCCCGACCAGGAAAGCCCCCTTTTCAACGCCTTCCTCCCTCGGAGCACCGCAGAGCTGCTGGGCCCAGGAGAAGCGGCCTGCTGGATTCGGGGCAGGTGAGTCCAGCCGGGGGAGGGGACCCAGAGCCACCCCTGAACTGGGCCGTGCCCGCAGGTACCTCCAGGTAAGGGACCGGGGTGTCCGGATTCAGGGGGTACTCCCTCAGCAGCCGCTCTTCATCCAGGAACTTCCCCGCCCGGCCGTTGAAGGCCGGCTGGAAGAGGCCATAGTTGAGGACGTCCTTCAGGCTGTGGTTCAGGGTGCAAAGGATGCGCTGCTTGGAGGTCCAGATGGGGACATCGGGGTTCAGCCGCAGACACTTCTGTGGAGGGAGGGAGACAAGCAAAGGGGGGGGGGCGTCAGAAGCCGTCCAGGCAGGAGGGCCACAGTCAGCACAGCTGGAATGGGCCTGCACGTTAAAAGGCCAAACTAGGTTAAATCCCATCTACATTCACTCGGCCTCTGGACCTGCAGGGTACAGTCACATTTCGCCTGCATTAAAAAAAGCAAAACCACAATAAAATATGAATCTTAAAAAGATCTATATTCAGATACAGGTAGCCCTCAACTCACAACAGTCCAAAGCTACGACAGCATTGAAAAATTGTGACTTATGACCGTTTTTTGCAGTTATGACCTTTGCAACGTCCCGGCAATCACGAGGTCAAACTTTGGATGCTTGGGAACGGGTTCGCATCTATGACCATTGCTGTGTCCTGGAAGCCAGATTCACTTAACAGCCGTGTGACTAAATTAACAGCTTAACAACAATTGTGGCAAGAAAGGTCGTAAAAGGGGGCAAAACTCACTTAACAAATATCTCATTTAGTAACGGAAGTTGTGGTTGTAAGTCGAGGACTACCTGTACCAACCTCTGGGCCATCTAACCACTGAAGCTCAGCCTTCTTTATAGGAAGGAAGGGGAGGAAAAGTCAGGTACTGGAGTGGTGTGAATGCCCTGAGCTTAAAGGCGGTCACGAGGTGATTTAAGGTTTCATATACAGTTTTTACGTTACAGGAATATTTTATTCGTATGCTGCCCAGAATCCGGAGGAGGCAAGGGGTCCAAAAATGTGAAAAATGAATAAAACGATGGTTGCAGCGTTATCCTCCTCCTCCTCACGTGGCCTCCACTGACGACTTTCCGACATGCAAACTCAACGGGAAAAGCCCATTGGGCAGCTGCAGTGTTTCACTCAACAACCGTGCCCCCCCCCCCCCAAAAAAAGAAGTCTTAAAATCGGGCACAACTGACATAACGACCACCTGGCTTAGCCCCAGAAATTCAGGTCCCAATTTTATTTATTTATTATTTTAGGAAATTTATGTTGCCGCCTCTCCATGCATGGTGACTCAAGGCGGTTTACAGGAATATAAACGCCTCAGATATAATATAATTTACAATTTTGATTGAAAAGCAAAGGCCACGTGCTGTGCACACAAACACAGGTTTTGTGAGAGGCGACAACTTTGCGCACTGACCCCGAATGGGTTTTGCTGCCTGTCTCAGAAGGGAGCGGATGTGCGTTATTATTCTCTGTGTGGGGGGGGGGGGGGGGTGGGGGGTGCACTCCCAGAAACCAGGCAGCTAATTTGGGGGAGCACGAGGCCCTGTCTCCATGTCCCCCCTCTCCAGAAGACAAAATTCAGAAGTATGGAAATGTACAGCCGAAGCTTCTGTGGAGCCAGATGGAGTTGGCAGCCGTTCTCCTCACCCGTCTGGATTGCTGCAATGTTCTTTATATGGGGCGACCCTTGGAATATGCCCTGAAATTTCCTGACAGCAAGGACAATTAATTATTGGAACGGCTTGCCTTCAGAAGTTGTGGATGCTCCAACCCTAGAGATTTTTAAGAAGAGACTGGACAGTCACTTGTTTGGAACGGTATGGAATAAGAGTATCCAATCTTGGGAACTCTAAGACTTGTGGGCTCTAACTCCCAGTCCACAAGTCTTCAAGCTCCAAGGTTGGAGACTCCTGGTGTTATAGGACCTCCTGCTTGAGCAGGAGATTGACTAGAGGACCTCCAAGGTCCCTGTTGTGGCCCGTCCCACCGGCCCCTCCAGCAGCCGAATCAGAGGAGGAAGAGGAGGAGGCATGGGAGTCAGGGTCAGCATCAAGGCAACCTGAGAGCTCCGAGGGGGAAGAAGGAATGGAGCTGGCAGAGAGAGAGAGAGAGAGAGAGAGAGAGAGAGAGAGAGAGAGAGAGAGAGAGAGAGAGAGAGAGAGAGAGAGAGAGAGAGAGGGAGGGAGGCAGAGGCGGAGCCTGGGCCATCTGTCAGCCCTCAGATGGAGAGTCAACAGCCCCCAGGTCTAGAGGTGGCAGATGAGGAAGAGGAGGAACAGCTGGGTCCAGTGCCTGACATGCAGATGTGCAGAAGGCAGAGGAGAGGAGAGCATTGGAAATCTATGGGCCGGTCCTTGGGACAGAAGAGGCACCGCTGCTAGTGAAGCCCCGCCCTAGCTTTGGGGATAAAAGGCAGGGGGTGGAGATGAATAGATTTGGCAGACAACTACTCATCTCCCTGCCAGACAGACTTGTTAGCCTGCGGTGAGAGAGGAAGTTTTTGCCGGGGCTGCTGGCGCTCCTAATAAAGGAATCATTGATTCAGTTGCAGAGGGTTTGTCGTGTTTGGGCAGCTGGGTCAGAACAATCCCTTCCAGCTCTCTTTATTCTGCTCTGTTATTCTGCTTCAAGGATTCTTCCCTCTTATGGAGAATTTGCTCTGCCTGGCGGCTGCTAATGGGATGCAATTCCATGTGTTGGCATCAATCATTAAATCCCTAAAATCATCATCATCATCATCATCATCATCATCATCATCATCATCATCATCATGAAGAACACCCCCCTTTCCTCTTTACCCCTTCCCCGAGAAACCGTTCCTCTCCCTGTGCCAGGCAAGGACTGAAACTGGGCGCTTTTCCTGATATTTAGGGCTGATGTATGCCCAGCAAGAAAATTGCGTCTCTCCTTAAGCTTGGTTGCTGCTTTATCAAAGAAACTCAGAGAGAGAGAGAGAGAGAAAGAGATCTATAGATTGAAAGCTCGGAACAGCAAGAGAGAGAGAGCGAGAGCGAGAGAGAGGGAGAGCAAACTCTGAATTCAGGATGAAAATGAAGAATGCAGAGGCTTCCTAGCTGAGGACACTCATCGCTTCTATAGAAGAGGAGGAAAAGGGGGGGGAGGGGGGTTGACAGGGGGAAAATGTGGGGAAACACCCTCAGATAAGCTGTCACTTAGTCACCCCACAGCCTACTTGATCAGCTGGGCCATTTTCATACCCTACTTTTCACCAGTTATCTGGAAGTCCTATTCTCTCTCCTCAAGTATCAATATTCCAAATGGGGTCTTACCAAGACATAACAAAGTGGTTATGCACTTTACAAGGCCTTGGAAAGGCCACACTTGGAATCCGGCATCCAGTTTTAGTCACCACACTATAAAAAGGATGTGGAGACTCTAGAAAGAGTTGCAGAGAAGAGCAACAAAGATGATTAGGGGGCTGGAGGCTAAAAGATATGAAGACTGATTGCAGGAACTGGGTCTGTCTAGTTTAATGAAAAGAAGGACCAGGGCAGACATGATAGCAGCCTTCCAATATCTCAGGGGCTGCCCCAAAGAAGAGGGAGTCAAGCTATTCTCCAAAGCACCCGAGGGCAGGACAAGAAGCAACGGATGGAAACTAACCAAGGAGAGAAGCAACTTAGAACTAAGGAGGAACCTCCTGGCAGCGAGAAGCCTCAGCCGGTGGAAGGGCTTCCCTCCAGAGGTCCTGGGGAGCAGACCAACGTGACCACGGTGTCCAGGTTTGGTGATGAACTTTTAAACAGGTTCATTTCCAGGCAAGTCAAAGGCCCCGGCACACCTTCTTCTAACGCATCTTATCTTATAATGCATATTTTGCCTAGAAGCGGAATAAACGAGGGGAGGGGATGCAGCCTGATCTCATCCGTAAACATACCTCAACGTACCTAACACCTCAGACATATTGGGGTTATTCTGCATTGTGTGAAGAAAAATATTTTCGGTCCCACCCAGGTTTACTCAGTGCCATCTGGGTAGGAAGGTGAGATGTAAATTGAAACAATAATCAGGAGAATGTCGGCTGTCTGGCGGCATCACCCAGCACCCACCCCAGCGGAAAAAGGACTGTTGGCCGAAGACCGATTTGGCGCAGAGGTTGCCGGCCCCTGAGTAAACACGGCTCAGGACCGGCCATATGTGAGGCTGGCGTGCCGCTGCGAGCAAACCCACGTCCTGACATTTTGATACATGCGCTGACATTTCACTGAATGGGCACCGATAGCTTCTCAGAAGCCTTTGTGCTAGAAATCCACCGAAAATCAAGTGGAATAAACATGAAAAACGGGGCCACTGTTTGCCACAAGACCGGCCCCTCAACCAACGCTCAGACTGATTATTTTAGCTTGACACCTTGTCCTTAGCGCAAGGATGAACACAGCAGAATAACACAATCAGAAGGGACCTCAGAGGTCTTCTAGTCCAACCCCCTCCTCAGGCAGGAGACCCTATATCATTCCAGACAAGTGGCTGTCCAGCCTTGTCTTGAAAGCTTCCTCCTCCTGAAAAGGTCTCAGCTATTGTCAGAAGGCCTACTGAGTCCTGGAGAAACCAAACTGGCCTACAAGAAAGACCTAATGAAGAATAGAAATGAGACACGGGAGTACAATGGCCAAGACAGTTAAAAAAAAAATAAAATTAAAAAAAAAATAGCAAGGAAGGCAGATCATAACAAGACCTGGCAATGTCTAAGAGGAGGAAAGTTGAAGGAAGAGCCCGGGGCTACTTCTGGCTACACAAGACCAAGCCTTAAGGACAAATGCACACAAAGCCAGAATTGAGAAGACACCAACAGACAGTAAGTGCCGCCTATGCAAAGAAGCTGCAGAAGCAGGGGACTACCTGGCATATCTGCTGCCAGAAGATCGCCCAAACTGACTACAAGCAATGGCGCGACAACATAACAACAATGGTGCATTGGAAGATCTGCAAGAAATACATTTGCCTGCAAGCATGACCTGGTGGGACCATAAAATAGAGAAAGTGAGAGAAGGTGAAGACACTAAACTGCTCAGGGACTTTAGAAGTTCAACAGAGAAGCACCTGCCACACAACACACCAGACTTTAACAGTTGTCAATAAGAAAGACAAAAAAGTTTAGATAGTGGATGTGGCAGGACTGGGAGGCAGCAGAAGAGAAGAGAAAGAACTACAGAAGATCACAAACTATAAAGACCTTCAAACAGAAATAGAACGATTGTGGGAAAAGAAAACAAAGGTAGACCCAATAGTAATA